GAGCCACAAAAGATTCTAAATAGTCAGAGCAATCCTGACACACACACACACACAAAAAAAATGAGAGCATAAGTATTACACCCCAGACATCAAAGTATACTACAAAGCTTGAGTAATCAAAATAGGTGACATTGGAATAAAAATAGGCACACAGATCACTAGAGGAGGGTCAAGAGCTTACATATAAACCCAAATTTACCTGAAAGTAGATAAAGCCAAAGGAGCCAAAGAATACAATGCAGAAATGAAAGTCTCTTCAAAAATGGGGCTGGAAAAATCTGGGTAGTTATTTACAAAAGCATGAATTTAGACCACTATTTCATACCATTCACACCAAAAAAATATATATTGAAAATAGATTAAAGACCTGAATCTAAGTCTCAAGATCATAAAATACATAGAGAAAAACACTGGCAGAACAATGTGAGAAATTAAATTTAGAGCTGTCTTTGGGGACTTGAGCCAAAGGTAGTAGAAATTGAAAAAAAAAATGGTACTACATCAAAGCTAAAAAGCAATTGCTCCACAACAGAAACTATCATTAGAAAGGAAAAATACCCTACTTAGTGGGAAGAGATATTTACACATCATACATCAGGCGAGGGGCTAATGTCAAGAAAATGAGACACTACTGGATTATGAAAAAGGGGTGGGTGGAATACAAAAATTATCTCCCACACAACTGATAAGGGACTGATCACAAAGAAATGCAAAGAACTCACAGGACTCAACAAAAACAAAGTAAACAATCCAGTTTAAAAATGGGCAGAAGAACTTAAATGACACCTCTCCAAAGAGGAAATGAGAATGGCCAACTGGCATATGAAAAAATATTCAACAGCCCTCATAATCAGGGAAATGCAAATTAAAATCACAATGAGATACCACTTTACACCAGTAAGAATGGCACATATTCAAAAAGTTAGCAACAAAAAAATGTTGGTGAGGACATGGTAAAAGGAACTTTCCTACTCTGCTTGTGGGAATGCAAACTGGTCCTATCACTATAGAAAGCTGTGTGGAGTTTCCTCAAAGTACTAATGGAGCTACCATATGGCCCACCAATGCCAAATACCTGAGTACACAAAAACATTAATCCAAAAGGATACCTACACCCTTGTTTATTACAACACTATTTAAAATAGTGGGAAAACACTATTTGCCTACTATTTAAAATAGTAGGAACCAACTCAAATGCCAAAAAATCCAGAAGAGGATCGAGAAGATGTGATATATATACACAACATTATATTATTCAGTAATCAACAAAGATAAACTAAATTAATGTCATTCGTAGCAACATGGATGAAACTAGAGGGGATTATGCTTAGTGAAATTAGTCAGAAGGCAAAAGAAAAATACTGATGTTTCACTTATAGGAAGACTATACAGGATCTAAAAAAAAAAGAAAAGAAAAGAAAATAGACAACTATAAATCAGAAAGAATCTACAGAGGATCAAAGTGAGGGCTGGAAGAGCACAAGGGACTATGGAGATGGTGCATGAGTGAATTGATGTTGAGAATTTTATGGGGACTACACCTGAGAAAAGAAAGAAAGAAAATACTGTACAAAAATATAGGATGATATAAAATGTATATAAATAAATACACTACATATTTTTTTAAAAGGGGGGAGGGTGAAAGAATAAAGGGGGAGGGTAAAATCTTTCCACTTGCAACAACCTAAATGAAACTGGAGAGGATTATGCTAAGCAAAATAAGTCAGGAGGAAAAAGACTAACACAGGATGATTTCACTCATGTGGAATATAAAAAAGAAAAAAGAACGAACAGATAAAACTAAACCAAACAAATCCTAGAAATCTGACTGGTGAACTGAGGCTGGCAGAGGTGAAGGGATAGATGGGAGCAAAGCAAGAAGGACTCAATGGTCTATAGAGGATTATGGGTGTTTAGATGGTGGGTGTTTTACAACATATATTTGAAGAGCTGTAAACCTATAACTTTAAATCATATACACTCTTGTAAATTAACATTACTTTAAAAAATAAGCGGCTAAATAAACAGCTAAATGATAAACACATGGGAGATAATGACAGATGAGAGGCAGAGGAAATAAAGACCTAAAACAACTCAAAATAATTTCCTCTCAGTTAACAGAAAGAACATGGCACCAAAATAAACCTCAGAACTAGGGTTTGAAAAAAAAGTACAATCCATTACATTACATGTCCTTCCGTCATTCCTTTGAAGCATGTTATATTCAAAGGTGATTCTTCAGTGGGGCTTGGTGCCCTCCACACCACCAGCCAGTAAAATGACACTATGTTTGAAAAAGTAATACAATGAAGTTGATCCCTCTGTGCCTCTAACACTACTCACCCTCTGGCATGTATCTATTATGTAGCTTCCTTAGGCTGTCTTCAAGTACCACAAACTGGGTGGCTTAAAACAACAGAAATTTATGGTTTCACAGTGCTGGGAGCTAAAAGTCTTAAATGCAGGTATTGGCAAGACCACACTTCCTTTGAAGCCTTTAAGAAAAAGTTCTTCCCAGCTTCTTCTGAAGTTCCTTGTGGTTGTTAGCTACCTTTGCTTATAAGTAACTTTGTAACAGGAACTTTCCCCAGGAAAGGGGGAAGTTCCAGGTTCCCTGTCCCACCCAGAAGGTGGGTGGAACTGAAAAGAGAAGAGAAGAGTCTGGAGAAGGAAGGAAGCAGGATGGAGAGCCAGAAGGAGACCTGAGGAAGCCACATGGAGGAAAGGGAGACATGTGAAGAAACTGCTTGTTTCTTGGCCCTAGACTGGTTGAAAGAGAGATGGGTGAAAGACCTGTGGGGAGGTTGACTATGGCATTGTTTATATTGATTTTGATTGTGCTCGTTTCCTCCCAGATTTGTCTGGCCATTTCTGACCCTTTTCTATGGGTCCCGGACAGGTGTTTTAGGCTTGTGGCTTTCAGGCCTTGCTTTGGGCCAATTCCTTTTGGGTGGACTTTTGCCCACAAGGGGATGGGTAACTTCAGGTTTGATTTAGAAATTGTATTCTTTGTCTTCTGTATTGTATACTCACTGTATTAAAAGTTCCTTTTCATTAAAGGCTTTTATGTCTTGTCTTAATGCGGCAAATGGCAGAACCTATTTAGAGCAGGCAGGTTTGGGGGTTCAGTGGTGCCCTTCTCTCCCTGCCCTGTTTGTTAACAACTTCACCCCAATTCTGCCTGCATTGCCAACTAGATTTCCCCCTTTTTGGCATTTTTCCTTTATCTGTATATCTCTTCGGTTCTCAGCTGCTAATAGGAGGCCAACCCTATGCTAGTAAGACCACATTTTTAACTTCATTAGGTCAGCAAAGTCTTTTCAGATGACATTCACAGATACAAGGGGCTAGGATTTGAGCATCCCAAAGGTATGCAAGGATAGGACACAGTTCAAACTGTGAAGTGAGTCATCAGGAGAACAAAGAGAAGCACTTTGGAAAGGCCAACCCACTGGCAATATTCTCACTTTAAAGGGAAGCAGAGTGCCAAGAATTATCTGAGAACTAACACTGTGTAGCTGCAGTGAAATATGTGAATTTTACCAAAAAAAAAAAAATTCCAACAGTACAAAACACTGAAGTGAAGTCATGAAAATTGAGTGGAAAATTCAGACAACAATATGCTGTTTTTCTTTCATCTGTAGAGGTAAGGGTGCTTTACAAGGTTAACAAAGGCTGATGCTCCTTGATGGGCAACTGATTAGGATTCAGTATTCTCACAAGTTTGTTGAAGGTACAGGAGGTTCACAGAGGTAAATAATAATGCACCTGAAGATGTAACAATGACACCAGAGAGTACTGATATATTAGAAGTAATATAACATCTCGGAGTCTTATATTTTTTAACTGAATCTTCAAATAAGTCTAAGAGTGAAAGGGAAGTCTAAAGAGATCTGAATCAGACCCTTTCACAAAACATGCAATTGGTGAACTACCGAAACTCTCACAATCATTCTACATAACACCATCTGAGCCATATTAGAAAATGATAAACAAACTTAATACAATGCTTTCCTGCTGGGTTGATGATCCATGGGTGTCCATAAATGAGCAATTCAGTATGAACCTTCTCCACCAGACAATAACCCAAGGCATGACAATATCTGGAATCTTAAAACTGAGAAGAACAGACTGCAGCATGACTCATCATATTGCTCTGAAAAATACCTAATCAACTTGTGGCTTTCTTTTTTTGTTTTGCAATCAATGAGAAGGTATGTTTCTGTATTCATGAAATTTTGTAATTACGATGGATCTTTACTAATCAGATTCAGGTGGATGCTTTATAAATATTTCACCCATTATTTCAAAAGCAGTAATACTTATTTCAAAAATATGAAATAGCATACTGTTCAACACATTTCTCCCTAAAGAAACAAGAAAATATCAAACTCCAAAACACCCCACATCTCAACAGGAAGCAGTGCAATCATAAGGCCAAAACTACTCTATTCCTTCAAAAAAAAATTTTTTTGCTCTTAGAAGTGTTGGACCTTTTTCTTTGCTACAGGAAAACAATTCCTTATGGAAAAAACCTAACTCAGTGGGTCAGAACTGTGGCAGATTTTACTCAAGCCAGGTAAATTCAGAGCATAGAAGGAAATGTTGTTATTATGGAAAGTAGAATGTATCTTCCATCCAGTTTACTATCAGGGTAAGTGTGAGGATCCCTTTTAGAGAATAAAAGTATATATAGAGAACTCCCACAAGTGTAAACAGAGCAATCTTATAGCTAAAGTGGGGCTTTCATAGAAAAATTATCTCAAAGAAAATTTTCATGAAGCCAGAGAATATAAATATCATATTCTGAAGATTCACATTATTCAGTGAAACACTTAACTCCTTTAATGCACACAGATACACTCACAGGCCCACACATATACCCCAACCTAATTTCTCCTGGAAATACTGTTTTACATGAAAATTATTTATATATTTACAGAATGTCTCTAGGAATGACAAAAACAGAAGAAACTAGAGCCAAGTGCCAACTTCCTTACCTTCCACAGATCAGGTGACCCTTCCACAAGTTTGGCTTTAATGTGACAGTATTTTAGAGCCAGTTGCAAACACTCAGTTCCAAATTCCAAGTCATAGTCACTGCACTGGATAGTGGGGAGAAAATAAAAAGTTAAAATTTCATTTTAAATAAAACTAAATGTTTTATTTAGTCAATTACACACAAAAAAAGGGGGGGCCTAGAGATTGTACAAACTCTTTAATCACCTACTGATTAGTAAGGTTATAAAGATTTTCCAGTGTCCTAAAACCCAAACACAAAAAAATATAAAATAGAAATGTTGCAATTATGAGTTCTGAACTTCCTCAATAGTTTGAGGTGTCAGATGAATACTTTCTTTCTTTGCTCAAAAACACTTTGCTTTGAAATATCTTTCAAAGATATAATGCCCGAAGGAATGGCATTACCATAGCAAAACTTGGTTTAGTAAATATTTATAGCAATAAATCCCAAACTCCCATTTATGTCAAGATATTTGCAGGTCACATTGTTTTTTTTAAAGAATGATTTTTTATCGATTTTTTAAATATTTATTTATGCATACAGAAATGGGGCACAGGCCCGAGGTACAGGGACAGCGAAAGGATTCACCCGAAACAAGGTGGGGAGCAGAACAGGCAGATCAATAAAGTACACTGATGAGGGGAGCAGTTGGCAGACAGGAGAGGTCTGCTGTGCCATGTGGACCACCTCCAGGGTGAGGATCGAATTCACAGTGAAGGGGCCACGGCTTGGGTTAGCTTCCCAGTGCAGCGCTCCAGCCCACTGCGCCACCAGAGAGGGCCCTGCAGGTCACAGTTTTTAATATTTAAAATATCAATTTGTCCTTTTTTAAAGGTATATATTTTGATTCTGAACAAACAGCTCAGGTTTTCAATGTAAGAAAAAAATGTAAAGAAAGGCCTCTCACAGATCTGGAAAGATATAAATACCATTTTTTATGATTACACAGAACCATAAAAATGATCAACATAATATAATTCAGCTGAATAAAAGCCAAGTACCTATCATGTCCAAGCTCTCCATTAAGTAGCAACATATAAAAATGAAACTCATACTTTGACTTCAGAGAACTCAAGTCTAGAAGGACAGACTGGTTCTGTGATGGATAATTTGGTAATAAAATGTCAGAGAGACAAAATGCTTAATTGTGCCTTAGGGCATCAGATAAAGTCCACCAAAAGAAATGGTATCTTACTCCCACAATAAATTATGAGTAAAACTAGAGGAGCGGAATAGCTTTAAGGTAAAAGATGCCAAGTAAAGTTAGATGTTTCAGATATCCCACAGATTTGCATTTTAGGAAGAGCACACCTATGTAAGAAAGTGTGCACAAAAGTAATAAACATGCATATGCATTTCACAACTTTTGCCAATGCTGTTTTATTGTACCAGAAGCTACAAAATATAAATGCTATGTTTTGTGAAATTAATGGCGAAGAAAATATAGTCATCATATACACACTATCTCTAAATTGACCAGAACTGTTTTAGCCTAACTTCTATTCTGTTAAACTATGTGTTTCCTATTTCACTTTAAAAATAGTACTATGAGCAGTTACAGTCAAATAAGATAGATTTTGTTCAATCTCCTTTTTTTATTTCTGGCAATATCCAATGTCTCATCTAGTACTATGTGAGTGAGAAATATGTACAGTGAACAGTATTCTTTGAAATTCATCGTTAAATTCCAAAGATGACTAGTAATTACACTTTTCCCAATTCTTTGCATAGGCAATATATCTAACATCCCTGGGCAACCTTAAAAGTGTTCATACAGTATGAATTGAAAGGAGCATCAAAGAACCACAATTTTCTCTGTATCGAAGGTTTTTGGGTGAGAATTATTTGCTTACTACTCTCAGTTTATACACTGAGAAGGCAATAATTTAAACACAAATGGTATGAATTCTTTAGTATTACAATCAGAAAGGTCACTGAGAAGCATGGCAAATAATGGACTAGAGATCTAAGAAACTTATACAGAAAATAAAGAATGAGTAACATTGATAGAAAGAGTAACCATTTGTTGTAAAAAAAAAAGTGATATTCATTGCATGAGCTAATATAACATATTTATGGTGGTTTAAGTTTTTTTGCAATAAAAACTTTCTAATTCAAAAATGCATGTTCAGAGCCCTCCCTGGTGGTGCAGCGGTTTAAAGCACAGCACTGAGAAGCTAAAGCCACTTCAGCATGAGTTCGATCCCCACCCCGGAGGTGACCCACAAGGTGCGGCAGACCTCTCCTGGTCCACCCGCTGCTCCTCTCAGCAGTGTACTTCTCAGTTGGCCTGTTCTGCCCCCCACTCTGTCTCTGGTGAATCCTCTCTCTGGCCTATACCCCAGTTCTGTATGCATAAATAAATAAATCTTTAAGGAAAAAAAAATGCATGCAGTGAAAGCTTAAATTCTAATTTTGTCTCTAATGAATATTAATGATAAATTCCTACTTTTATCTGGGATATGGAAAGCTGGAAAAAGTGATGGTCACATATGAATAAAATTAAAAGCAGATTAACTACAAAAGCATATATTTTCTTCAACACAACAGAGCTGAGTTCAAATAATGTAAAAGAAAGTAGCACTAGTTTTAATGCTACTTTAGACAGGATACTACTACCAGTTCACCTACAGCACAACATAAAAGGAACAGGTACAGAGCATAGACAGTTTAAGAGAAAACTGCTAAAAAAAATAGCAACAGATTATTTGAGACTGACTGGAAGCAACTAGAAGAACTTAAACCCTTCCCAAGCCACAGAAAAAACAGAAATGTATACCAATTTGTAAGTTCTTCCACAATAGCCTACAGGCTGTTCATAAAATGAAAACATTTGAAGATGAGTGATTAGATGTTTTTTTATAAATTCGAGGCAATCAATGAACAAAAAATTCTAAGTCAAAAATATAAGGTCAACTGTGGTGATAAAATGAAAATATGCAAAATGCTAAACAACAGAAAAGACTAACTAAAAGCAAAGTCAGAAAAAGAAGGAAGAAAACAACAACCAAAACAAAGGTTAATAATGTTAAGTTTAACTGCACAAATTGTCAAGTTACTACATAGGATGGGGGTAATAGTGCTATCACTGCCAAAACAGTGTCACCCCAAATACACTGTCAAGTTCAGTCATTTGAAATTCAAAGTAAAAAAAAACCCACCAAATCCAATCAGCCTTCAACACACAAATGAGCAGAACCACAGATTTAAGTGAAACCCAAGGAAAAACTCCAACATGAAAGCTAAGGTCATAAATTATTCTGGAAGAAACAGAAACTATAACATTAAAAAATAAAAGACTTAATAAGCCCAGAAAGGTAAAGTATTTATAGGGGAAATAAGAGAGAGAGAGAAAAAAAGAAAATTAGATGACTAGACCACAAAGTCCAATATATTGAGGTATGGGTGGAGAGACAATTAGGATGAAGGAAAAAAAACATAAAGAAGAAACAACCAAATATTTTTTTAATTGCAATAATGAAGAACATGAATTTCCAAATTAAAAGGACTTAGGGAATATAAAAGCTAATAGATGAAAATATACCAAAGACAATTAACAGCAACAACAAAAGTCTTATAAAGTAGTAGGAATCCGAAGTGGATGGAACTTTATTACCAACAGTGAGAATCAGAAAAGCATCATAACAATTCTTCATACATTTTAAGATAATGATTTTCAACAAAAACTTGTACTCCCAGAAAAGGTATAAATCAATGAGGTGTGAGAGCAGAAAACAGAGTTTTAGAAACACTTAAGTTCTAAACAGAACTTTAGTTCTAATGCACTCTTTTTTATTCTGAGTATTTTAATTAGGCATTTTTAGACAAGTTCAGATTTACTGAAAATTTGAGTAGCATATATAGATATTTCCTTCCCAAATACTGTACTCATATTTGCACAACCTTTCTCACTAACAAAATCCTGCACCAGATTTAACATTATTATCCAGAGTCCACAGTTTACATTAGGGCTCACACCTGCTGTTCTACATTCTATGGGCTACCTCAATACATGCTACAATAGCATGTGGCCATCAGAGTGTTTTTGCTGCCCCATCAATTCTTTGGTTTTCCTATTTATCCTTCTTCCCTACTCTCAAACTCTGTCAGCCAATGAGCTTTTTACTTTCTCCAGCTTTGCCTTTTCCAGAATGTCACAGTTAAAATTGTACAGTCTTTTTATGGCTTAATAAACCATTTCTTTCTAATGGTGAATAATACTCCATTGTCTGACTGTACTAGACTTTATATAAGCATCATCTACTGAGGGCATTTGATTGCTTCCAAGTATGGACAATTATGAATAAAGCTGGTATTTTCACATGTAAATTTTTTTATGGACATAACTTTTCAATTAATTTGGGTAATACTAAGCAACATGACCACTGGAGCAAGTGGTAATAATGTTTAGTTTTGTAAGAAACTGCTAAGCTACTTACCTATGCATGTACCATTCTGTATCTCCAAACCAATGGGTAGGAGTTCCAGTTGCTTCACATTCTTATCAGCATAAGTTGTTACTAGTATCTTGAAGTTTGGCCATTCAAGTAAGTATGGAGTAGTATCTCACTGTAATTTACATTTTTCTAATGATAAATTGTGTTTGGCATTGGTTTATCTTTGTTGATTTCTCTTATATCTGACCTTTGAGTTGTTCATTTTCTGGTAAAGTAATAAAATGTTTATGTTTGGGGTAACAGTCCTTAGTCAGATTATTTTTACAAAGATAGTCTGTCAAGTTTGACTTGTCTTCTCATTTACAGAGCTTTAGAGAGAAAAAAAATTTAACTAAGCCCAATTTATCAATTATTTCTTTAATATATAATACCTTTATTGTATATGAAAAAATCACTGTCCCCTATATTCATGATTAGCTAGGCTACTCCTTGCTATATTCTAGGAGGCTGATAAAAGTTTTGTGTTTTACTTTTATGTCTGTGATACATTTTGAGTTTATTTTTGTGAAAGTAGAGGGGGTAGAATTTTTTGGCATGTAAACATCTAGTTTTTTTCAACACCACTGAAAAGACTGCATTTTCTCCATTGTATCATCTTTCCTCTTCTGACAAAAAGGAATTAGCC